TTCCCTCGATCTTAGCTCCACTCCCGGGGCTCAGGTTCTCTCGTCGGCTTGTGTCTCCTAATGACACACGACGGGGATTTGGTCGTATGGGGATGTGGGTATTGCGTTCCCACTGCGATTACACGCAGCGGTAGTCCCTGAAGGGGAACGTCCCGGGTTACGTATGTAACCCTAGTTCCCCGAAGGGACGGACGCTGCGTGTCCTGCCATACTCTCGGCATCCCCTTGGGTCGCTGCTTCAGTAACTTTTAAGCTGGCGTATTGTGTACTCAGGGGATATTTATAGCTTCCTGGTCGATGACGTCACTCGCCGTACGCTCATTCTCTCCATTGACTGATTTCATTCATGCTTCAGACGCGTCACGCTGAGGGCGTTCCCACTGCGATTACACGCAGCGTCCGTCCCTTCGGGGAACTAGGGTTACATACGTAACCCGGGACGTTTAGCTTCAACCCTTATCAAACACACCTGAACAAGCTAATCAATGTCTTCAGGATTACTAAGGCTACAGGCAGTTTTCTTTAGGGTTGGAGCTAAACTCTGCAGGACAGCGGCTCTCCAGGACCGACGTTGCCTACCCCTGGACTAAATATTTTATGAGCAGTTTTAAGAGATCTGAGACCTTGTTACCAAAATGTTAGTCTCACGTAGCCAGACCCTCAGACTGACGGCAGAAGGTCTGGATTACATAGCGGCTTTCATTGGCCAAGGACCACCCAAGAGAACGTCTGACTGACATCTAAAGCAACCAAATCACAGTTCGTTTTGTTCACCATCATGTTTAGGGGCGGGAAAGTCGATGTCCCCACAATAACAGACCGGCATGCAACCAATAAATCATTTATTCAAAAACAATGAGCTAATTTACTGTGACAATAGCACATCAGTCTCCAAATATTTTGAAAATCCAGTGCTTAGTTGATCCTGAGTAGTGCTAATTGTCACAGTTGTAAACACGATAGCTTTCTTCCTCAATGAGGGGGTTTGGCATCACCTTGTTTCCAGGCAGACTGTTAAAGAACGCGACACACACACGTCTCACGGAAATCCTGTACAATTCAACCAATCAGATGATGACTTTGAAAATCCTGAAGTGTTGCCCATTTTGTGTGCCTTATGCAACAGTGAGTATGCATCAATACTCACAACGCAACCAAATACACAAACATGCTGCAAATACTCACAATGCAATCAAATACGCTGCAAATACTCACAACGCAACCAAATACAGAAAAGTGCTGCAAATACTCACAACGCAACCAAATACAGAAAAGTGCTGCAAATACTCACAACGCAACCAAATACAAAAACACAAATGGGATCGCTTATTCTTCAATGACTAATCGTCAGTGGTGTTGTCGATAACCTGAAAAGTGAGTTTTTTGTTTATTTTAACACCCCTGATCGTATGTGCGTTGTGAGTATTTGCAGTGTGTTTCTGTATTTGGTTGTGTTGTGAGTTTTTGCTGTGTATTTCGGTATATGGTTGCATTGTGAGTATTTGCAGCGCGTTTCTGTATTTGGTTGTGTTGTGAGTATTTGCAGTGTGTTTCTGTATTTGGTTACATTGTTAGTATTTGCAGTGTTTCTGTATTTGGTTGTGTTGTGAGTATTTGCAGTGTGTTTCTGTATTTGGTTGTGTTGTGAGTATTTGCAGCGTGTTTCTGTATTTGGCTGTGTTGTGAGTATTTGCAGTGTGTTTCTGTATTTGGTTGCGTTGTGAGTATTTGCAGTGCGTTTTTGTATTTGGTTGCATTGTGAGTATTTGCAGTGCGTTTTTGTATTTGGTTGCGTTGTGAGTATTTGCAGTGTGTTTCTGTATTTGGTTGCATTGTGAGTATTTGCAGTGTGTTTCTGTATTTGGTTGCGTTGTGAGTATTTGCAGTGTGTTTCTGTATTTGGTTGCGTTGTGAGTATTTGCAGTGTTTCTGTATTTGGTTGTGTTGTGAGTATTTGCAGTGTGTTTCTGTATTTGGTTGTGTTGTGAGTATTTGCAGCGTGTTTCTGTATTTGGCTGTGTTGTGAGTATTTGCAGTGTGTTTCTGTATTTGGTTGCGTTGTGAGTATTTGCAGTGCGTTTTTGTATTTGTTTGCGTTGTGAGTATTTGCAGTGTGTTTCTGTATTTGGTTGCGTTGTGAGTATTTGCAGTGTGTTTCTGTATTTGGTTGCGTTGTGAGTATTTGCAGTGTGTTTCTGTATTTGGTTGCGTTGTGAGTATTTGCAGTGTGTTTCTGTATTTGGTTGCGTTGTGAGTATTTGCAGTGTTTCTGTATTTGGTTGTGTTGTGAGTATTTGTAGTGTGTTTCTGTATTTGGTTGCATTGTGAGTATTTGCAGTGTGTTTCTGTATTTAGTTGATTTGTGAGTATTTGCAGTGTGTTTCTGTATTTAGTTGCATTGTGAGTATTTGCAGTGTGTTTCTGTATTTGGTTGCGTTGTGAGTATTTGCAGTGTGCTTCTGTATTTGGTTCCGTTGTGAGTATTTGCAGCACGTTTCTGTATTTGGTTGATTTGTGAGTATTTGCAGTGTGTTTCTGTATTTGGTTGTGTTGTGAGTATTTGCAGCTTGTTTCTGTATTTGGTTGTGTTGTGAGTATTTGCAGTGTGTTTCTGTATTTGGTTGATTTGTGAGTATTTGCAGTGTGTTTTTGTATTTGGTTGCGTTGTGAGTATTTGCAGTGTGTTTCTGTATTTGGTTGCGTTGTGAGTATTTGCAGTGTGTTTCTGTATTTGGTTGCATTGTGAGTATTTGCAGTGTGTTTCTGTATTTGGTTCCGTTGTGAGTATTTGCAGTGTGTTTCTGTATTTGGTTGCATTGTGAGTATTTGCAGTGTGTTTCTGTATTTGGTTACATTGTGACTATTTGCAGTGTGTTTCTGTATTTGGTTGCATTGTGAGTATTTGCAGTGTGTTTCTGTAATTGGTTCCGTTGTGAGTATTTGCAGTGTGTTTCTGTATTTGGTTGTGTTGTGAGTTTTTGCAGTGTGTTTCTGTATTTGGTTGCATTGTGAGTATTTGCAGTGTGTTTCTGTATTTGGTTGCATTGTGAGTATTTGCAGTGTGTTTCTGTATTTGGTTGCGTTGTGAGTATTTGCAGTGTGTTTCTGTATTTGGTTACATTGTGAGTATTTGCAGTGTGTTTCTGTATTTGGTTGCATTGTGAGTATTTGCAGTGTGTTTCTGTATTTGGTTGCATTGTGAGTATTTGCAGTGTGTTTCTGTATTTGGTTGCATTGTGAGTATTTGCAGTGTGTTTCTGTATTTGGTTGCGTTGTGAGTATTTGCAGCACGTTTCTGTATTTGTTTGCACTGTGCGTATTTGCCCTGTGTTTCTGTATTTGGTTGTATTGTGAGTATTTGCAGTGTGTTTCTGTATTTGGTTGCATTGTGAGTATTTGCAGTGTGTTTCTGTATTTGGTTGCATTGTGAGTATTTGCAGTGTGTTTCTGTATTTGGTTGCATTGTGAGTATTTGCAGTGTGTTTCTGTATTTGGTTGCATTGTGAGTATTTGCAGTGTGTTTCTGTATTTGGTTGCGTTGTGAGTATTTGCAGTGTGTTTCTGTATTTGGCTGTGTTGTGAGTATTTGTAGTGTGTTTCTGTATTTGGTTGCGTTGTGAGTATTTGCAGTGTGTTTCTGTATTTGGTTGCATTGTGAGTATTTGCAGTGTGTTTCTGTATTTGGTTGCGTTGTGAGTATTTGCAGTGCGTTTCTGTATTTGGTTGCGTTGTGAGTATTTAAAACTCCACCTAATTGGTAACAGGGTTAGAGATTTAACCTAAATACAGTAACTAAGTAGGATCTTTGTAGTTCACTATTAAATTCAATTAATTTGTTTAACCTTTCCAGCTATTCTTACAATAGCTTTGGTAACAGCGACACATTTTTGAGCTTCATTGACAGAGAAATTTCTGACAAAAATTTAATTAATATAAACATTTAATGTGTACCTATTTCTCATGCTATATTAATCTATGTTTGATAATAGTTCATGTAACATATCTAATAGTTTTCATTACTAAGTTTTCTCTATTTCTGGAAAGTGCCAAATTTTCTCAAATTATTGAGATTTTCATGTTCCTCATCCACTTAAACATGCATATTACATCCAATAAAACCCTTCAGGGTTGTGTTCACACTTGTAGTTTGGCTCTGGTCTGGACCAGAAAAGTAAATGATACATTTAGCCCTGGTTCACTGAGTGCTCACATTGTCATTTTTAACACCAAACCTAAATATACAAAACCAAAAAAAAAAGAAGTTTTTTTGACGTACATTTTCATGACGGAACTTGTCGAACATTCCAAACAATGCTGTGTGCTGGGCTAAATGTGCTCGCTGTGTGTGCATATGATGGTATATGACGGAAATGAGAACTCGTGAAGAGCTTAGAAAATGTGTAAAGGCGTCAAAACAGCGGTGGGAATCCCTCTGTCACACACACAAACAAAGATCTGCTGTACCGAATTGTGATTGCAACATTGCGACTATGACGAGAAAAACCGGTATGCGTGAGCATTCTGTCCTTTTTAGGCTCACATCTTGTGACATCACCTCCTAGTTTTGGTTCATTTAGATGTCATTGGTCCGTGTTGCAATCATATATCAGTCAAACCTTTCCAGAGTTAGTCTTAAAGCAGGCCGAGATCAATCTTTTTTTGAGGGGTCTCAGTCCACTTGATTGGTGCGCACCAAGGTTCAGATGGCAGCGTTTACACTTATTCAAATGAACCGCACTAACAGAGCAATCGCACCAGAGTCCGTTTTAATCGAACCAAACCTGCCAGGTGTGAACAAACCCTTAGCCTCCAAAATTCATTGTAATTCAACCAAAATGACACTTTGCACACCATTGACCCAGTTGGCTCATTTCATTCCTATAATGGCTCTAAACCACTTGGCAATAATTGCTTTCGGGATGGCAGCACAGGACCTAGAGCCATCCCACTTCACCTGGGCTGTTCCATTAAACAGGAGCAGGTCCTGTACCTGTACCTACCTACACTGGTGATCCTCTGGGAGACCAGGTCCTTCAGCAGGGCCCCTATGACAGGGGTGTGTCTGGAATACAGCTCGTATCGGTTGATCCCGATGTGGAAGCGGAGCCAGTTGGGATATGACTCAGCAGAGGCCTCCCCTGCCGGACTGTACTCCTCCTCCACGTTTCCCTCGTTATGCCTGTTGATAAAGGACAGAGGAGGACATTAGTCACTACCAGCACACCACCAACCCAGCTTATTACATTAAGATGGACTCAAAATGAGATAAAACCATGCAACTTTGTGAGTGTAAATGTGTAAAATATTATACAGTTATTCTACAGTCAGACACACAATCGGGACTTTGATTAGTATTTATATTATTACTAGGCCCAGGAGGAATCTGGGCTCAGTAATAACATAAAATACACTCCTTTTTTTAAAGAAATACACTTAAGCATACTTTTAAAAAGTGTACTTATGGGAAAAAAATATATACTTAAGTGTGAATGTTTTCAGACACTTAATTGCATGTTATTTGCAATTAAATGAAACTGTATAATAGTTTAAATTGACATTAAATGCAATTAGAGTGATTTTTTTATTAGTTATATTGTCTTTGAACTACGGTTAAAGTTACTGCTGAATGTACTGACAAGCATTTATGATAAACTAAACTATACTCATGTCATTTCTGTTGAAACTTGAGTGCCATGTATTGAAATATATTTACAATTACACATTTGTACTGATGAAGTTGCAATTTAGCATATATATATATTACATTTAAATGTGACATCAAATAACAACCTACAGTTCAAATTACAGTATAACCAAGTACTTTACATGTCCTTGAGTATGTTAGTCAACACGTCAAAATAAGTGAACATGAGCATGACAAAAGATTATTAAAACATAATCAATTAAAATGCACTTTACAGTAAAACTTTCAATTTGACATTACAAAGTGCACTTTTTAAATGTGTACTTAAGCGTGCTAAGAAACATAGTCATGCAAGTGTGCTCTCTTTAAGTACACTTAATTATTTATTAATATTAGCCTATATAATCTGCAATTTTAAAAACACTTTGAGGATTTGAAGTACACCACAAATGTACAATCAGTACATTTATCATCCTTCTTTTCACAAAGAGAAAGCATCTGGATGGCAAGCTGTCACATGCATTTTCAGTGATTAACAAAGCACTGTTAAAAAAGACCTTTAACTCAACTGTTCCTGTTTAGTTAATCTGGATCAGTCAGGCATGGCTAAAAGGCATGTTTAGTTAATACAGTCATAGTTAAAGGCAGAGAGAATCCGCTGAGATATATCCCTGAGGACGCCAGAGCTTGCCGGGTGAAGAACAAAAAGAGAGGACGCAGGAGCAAACAAAGGGCATGACACCAACAAAAAAACCCTCACCTTAATGCATCTGACAGCTCTGAAGAAAACAACTCATCACACCAGAGGAACAGAGACGAGTCCTAGCAGCAAAGCTTTTAACACTCACAATGAGTCAGTATCAACTGGAAATTATAAAAGTATCACGTCTTTCCACAACATATGCACTCTTATTTTTAGCTCTAGTTTAAGAGATGTACTTCCCTCTTTTAATCGTTGCTTTCATTCTTGATTTCCATTGAGAATATGAAATTTGTATGATTATTACTTAGACAAAACGAAAAAATTATGACCCCTGGCCCAAGGTGTGATGTGAGAAACATTTCTAAGCTCTAACCATTCTTTAAATACTAGTTTTCCCTGTTGCTTTTGGATAAACACATTTTCTGTAAAGGGACGTACCATAGGTTCTACAAAAAAGCTATATCGGGGCATTTAGTCACAATGGGAACCTCAAGTTTTTAACTCTGATTCGAGAAAGATTATCTCATTTCTATAGTGAAAAAGAAATTCTCCACAAGATATGTGTATTTAAAACACATTACAAACTAATAAACATACTTTTCTGCTAAATTTAAACAGGACAACTGTGAAACAAAACAAGATCAGTGAAAATGATCCCAATTATCGTAATATGTCATTTGGTAACTAGGTGCCAACATACAAAACCACTGCAAGAAAAAAACACATTTTGTTTAATTGCCATTTTTTGACTATAAATCTTATAGTTGTGACAACTTTCCAGTCTCAATTAATATTTTAATTATGTATATAACTGGGACATAGGAAATTGTTTCACATGTGTAACAGCCTTTTTAAACTTGCACTTTCTATTCTTCTTTTCCTAATGCTAAATATGAGCAATCGCTTTCAATGCTTTTCTTTATATCATCTCTTTAGAAGCAAGACTGGGGCAAGTTGTTACCCTTTTTGTATTGCTGTGAATTTTTCTCAGGATAGGTTTATTATTGGAAGTCATTTCTGTTTACTGTAGACATATGTTGTTTGGTCAACAAACAAATCGAACCATTTACCAGGACAGGCCACATTATATTGAGTGTCTTTGTACTAACGTTTAGATTAATCAATGCACTTATTGTGTACATGGTTTTACACTCTACTTATCTTTTTAAAATGTCTATAATTACAGCGAAAATCTGTAATTACACTGTTGACCTTCCATTACACCTTAAAATACCAATTTAGTACTATGTGGATCCCACCCTTAAATCTATCCATTCCACCAAACATGTCCCTAACCTTACCAGTATCCACCCCAATAAAAGTGTTTGCAATGCAACATCAACACAATAAGTGCATTGTACCTACACTGTAAAAAAAATATTGTTGGTTTAACTTAAAAAAGGTAAGTAACCTGGTTGCCTTAAAATTTCCATTTACAATTAAAAATTTAGTTAATACAATGAAGGAGGTTGGTTTAATCAACAGAAACTCAAAATATGATGTTATCTGAACCACATAAATTATCTAAGTTGATTTTACAAAAGAAAAAAAAAATGTGATAACAAATAATGAAAAAATATTTTTTACAGTGTAGCATTTTTTTTTTTACAGAAATACATAGTAGTTAAGGACACCAAATATACAGTGTGACTTTTTTATATATATATATTTTTATATATGATATCTTCAAAGTAAAATAAGTCAACAAGATTCTTTTTCAGAATATTGCCAACCTCCATGTGTGTTACAGTACAACCCGGTCCTGGGACTTAACAGCTCACTTTTAAACATATAACAATATACGCCAGGTTTAAAGTAGCACTTGCCATTCTTGTTGTCCGGCAGCTTTGGGGTAGAATCTGATATCAGCGTTGAGGTTGAATAAGGTGTCATCTTCAGTGAGATGAGGCAGGTCAGTCCCATACAGCGGATTCTCATAGAGCGCCTTCAGTCTGGAGGAACCCTGGACAGCTCTCTGCTTCTGTCCGCTCGCTGTGTCTCTCATCAAACCCCTCTTCTCTGAGCCCAACTGCAGCTGTCTCACTCTCTTTTCAGACTCGCCTCTCTCGGTCACCTTCTCCCGTGAGTGCGAAGTGAGATTGGAGTTGGGTTCATTGCTGAAATCCTGCAGTAATCTCAAAGAGTGTTTATTAGGCCAGCCCGGTTCGGCGGCGGCGGCTCTGGCGCGCTGCTTAGCCCAGGATCGAGGATCCTCGCCCGGTGTGTGAGCGCAGGAGCAGCCGCCTCCTCCTCCGGCGCTGGAGCTCGAGCCCGCCGCGCGCTTCTCCAGCTTGGGTAACAGGTCTATCATGATGTGCATGGTGCAGGCGACCAGAAACACCATTAAAATCAACACGCGAAATTTACGGAAAAGGATCATCTTTATAGGCTACCTAAAGCACTTGCCACTATATGATACAGCCAGGCTATAATAAAGGATAGTGTGTGGTGTCCTTCTGTAATCCTCCTTATATGAGATCCATGTTCAAATAGGTGCAAAAATCTTCTTCTGCATCCTGCTGTTTCCAGGTGTAGCCTATCAAGAAATATTTATTTTCGGCATAGTTGATTTTTGGTGAAGTCGCATCCTTGCACCTTCAGTTCATCATGATAAAGCGCATCTGTAAAAATGTCCCGGTAAATAATGGCAAAACACGAGGAAACCGCCGTTTGACTTCTCAAGAACCGCACAGACGTCGGATCGGCAGTCCCATGTGTGGATTTCTCCAGTATGTGAAGAGGGAGATAAAGTGCATTAGTTCTTCATGGAGAGCAGTCAGTGACAGGTGTAGATGTATCAGTGCCCTGTGTGTTAAATATTGGGATCCTGCCTCTCCTCGTCACGGCATTCAGATTGGCTGAGTCCATGAGACTCAAGGAAGAGCGACTCAAAAAAGATATTCGGCTTGGAATGTCAGTGCAGTTCCTTTGTGTGAAGACAGAGGGCGCTGATGCGCGTGAGACTCACGTAAACTGGTGATCGGTGGTGGTAAAACTCATTAATACAAAAAACCCCCACATAATGCTTAATATATCAGTAGATACAATGTGAATATTAAGGGAAATAAATGAATCAAATGTCTTTTAAAATGTCTAATTATTTGAATGGATCTGTTCAAGAAATCAGTCAAATCATGGTGAATTCAGGTCACTTTTTTCCATTGAGATGAGTGGGGAAAAGGTGTCTTGATTAACCTGAATTCACCCTTATCAAAGAAAGAAACTAATAATTTTGGAACTACGCAAGGTGGGTAAATGATGATAAAATATTCATTTTGGGGTAACTGTCCCTTTAAGCATATAGTGTTTGTTAATGTTATTCATAAAACGTTTGGGTGTCTGGTTTTATGATCTGTTTTTTTTTACCTGAGCTGTCAAACTCAGCATTTATGTATTTGAGACCAACTCTATTGTGACATACAAGAGCTCTCCATAAACGCTGAGACTTCCGGTTGGGAAATTAAGATAATAAAGTAGCCTGCCTTATGGACAATTTGAATACATTTTCCCAAAACTAACAAGATTAGCCTCATAGAAGGATGTAAATCCAAAGCAGTTGCCAGTATGGTAATGAAATTTAAGAAAGAAAAAAAACTATTTTCATCAGAACAATAGCAGGGGTTTTTCATCAGCCTAACAGTACACTACAAGAATTATGAATTTGATATGGCAGTTTGCCATGGTTAATGTCTGGGGCATGTATTTTGATGAGAATAAATTTATCTTCTTTGCTTTGTCTTAATAAGGATTATTACTGACTCAAAACTAGCAGATAAGAAATGATGTCTCAAAATTAATTAAAGTTCAATATAGAGCCCCGGGGGTGATGTGAGAGAATGTAATATTTCAAATAACTGTGATTTAAATGTTAACTTTAGAAACATCTATGCAATTATGCCAGGAAAAAAAAAAAAGCGATTGTTGATGAACATTGACTTGATTGCAAAATTTTAATTTAGTTTAGTATTTTAGTCGAACTTGTTATGGAACTTTACAGTATCTACATCGGCATAGAACTAAATGTATTATGACAAAAAGTCCTGCTATATGTGTTGCCTTCCAAAACTTCAAACCCCTCCCTTTTCTTTTATCTCTGCTGCAGGATCTATAGCAGCTGTTGCTAAAATTATCCCTAATATTTCCTAGATCTGCAGTTGAAGTATTTGCAGTAATAACAGCAGAAATAGTTCTGCAGAAAAAACACGTGTGGGTGTTTCTTCAGCTACTGGGTTCATGTATATTGAAACAGATAAACAGAGTTTTATTTTTTATATGAAGGTCACATTAAAACTCTTGGAAATTGCACATCGTAGGAGAGCTATGCATATGGTTTCAGAAATTTTTCTAAAATATGATGTGTTCTGCCCACACTTGGAAACAGCATACCAACTCTAAACTGTAACGTCCTATTCGATTCTGAGTGAAAGAATATTAAAAGACTCACAGATTACATAAGGATAAAAATGCATGCATGCCAGTGTAGTCTGAGCTCATCTTGAAGGATAAAACAAACAAAAATTTATAGCACGAGAGTAAAATGAATCAGGGTTATATGTAGGCCGGGGTCTCCTTTGTTCAACGGCTAAATGGCTTTAATGAACGTTTCCATATTTTGCACTGTCCTCCTTAATGTAAGCCAGTTTCAGCTCCTTTTCAAGATGTAACAAAGGATCTGGAGCAGTAAAGATGTTATCCTTTCTGCTTCCATCATTCGCTCTTACGCTCATCTGACGTGATCTGGGAAATCTGAGAGCTTGTAAGAGCACGCCATTGTGTTTATTATGAATCGGAAAATAGAGTGCTTCATTAATAGGTGGCCAAAGGGAAGGTGACAAAAGGAGAGCACATTTTGTCCCTCTCGTCTTTTGACATCATAAACCTGCATATTAAAAATGTTACGGTCCATGTTGTGAGGTTCTCAACTTGCGAGTCACAACCCCAAATAGTTTTGTTCAGGCAGAAGAGCAAAAATGCTTAATGAAAACACTAAAATGCAACGAATCATATAATCATTAGGTTAGAAAATCCATTTTTAAAAATGTGATGCTTCCCTTATATCTTGATGTTGACATCGAAGGCCGTATGTCCAATAAAACTCATGTTTCAATTTGTCATTTAAAGGACATTTCTGTATTATAATTTTTTTTTATAATGATAAACAATTTTAGTACTGTCGCCATTTATTCCTCAAAGTAAAATCGGGGTCCTGAAGTGAAACAAAAGGAGAACTGCTGCTTAACAGCACAAAGGTGCTTTGTGATTGAGCCAGGAAAAAAAAATAAAATGATGAAATGAATTCCAGTGTCTCGCAACACTTTGAAGGCAAACAAAGTGTCAGCATTTCACAACTCTGCCTCAAATTGGTTAACATTCCTGTTTGTCAAGATTATTCATGGCGGCGCTAGATGGATTTTTCATTGCAGTCTAGAATACAGTGTTGAGGGGGGTGTACCGGCCTAAATAAAGCATTGTAATCATCCTAGCTGTTGCAACAAGATTTCATTACCTCTCAAACAGGTCTGTGAAAATCGCAAACACACGCATTTCCTTGAAGCCTCCGACAAGGAACATGAACGTTTTTGTAAAGCCAGAATGTTGATGAGCCAGTTGGATGAGCTTGTTGGCAGAATCTACCATTTCTATTTGATAGAAGCTCACGGATATCTTTTATATTCTAGGTTTGGATAGAACAATCTGGCCTGTGAGCTGGCCAAAAGAGCAATGTCACTTTCCCATCACTACGTTCGCGAAATAAATCAATATTAAAAGAGGTACAACGTCATTCATTCAGATCTACATACCAGTTTTATGGGAGCAATAGTGATTTCTACGACTTAACAGCCTGCAAGGAAAATAGAACAGGTTTTTTGAAGAGATAACTGGTGCTTGCCTAAGCAAACAAGTCACCGCCACTATGCTAGAGTCTTGTCAGAATGCTGTAATGTGGTTGCTTAGTGGTTTCTAATATGTCACTGTGTGCTAGGATTGCTAGAATCCCAGCCAGCACTCCCATGTGCCTGTAACTTCCTAGGCTGTGTTTAACTCCACTTTTAGACATACTTTCGCAAACTTCCCTTAACACGTCCCCTCGGGGGGAATCCCTGCCGCCATTTTGAAGCGCGTTCAGCTACGTCAAGTGGACGAGGAAAGTTTATTTGGACAGTCCCTTGACTCCCTCAATTTTGACCGAGGGATCAAGTCTACTCAATATGTACACTTCAGTCAGATCCATATGCCACACTGTAAAAAATAAAATGCCATTTTTACGGTAAAATACCGGCAGCTGTGGTTGCCAGAACTTTACCGTAAAAAATATGGTACAGACGTTATTGGTTTTACAGACTTAACTTAAAATTTACAGCAATAAACCGTATTTCATTATCTGATATAATGTTAATTTTCCAACCTATTTATGTATTAATATCTGCTTTGTACCATTGTATTACACTGACAACCAACAATCATCACAGCATTGTTGAAAGTCACATGATAAAACAAAGTTCATCACAAGCAGCTTTTCCATGAGAAATTTAGTACTAATATTGAAGCTGCACAGTGTCATTCGCACAAACACTAAACAGCATCATGGTAACACATGAAATTTAAAAAATGCAATAAACATTAATTTAACAACATTAAATGTAACATAAAACTCTAATGTACATAACTGATAAGAAAAGAACTACAAAAACTAAGAAGAAACAGTTATTTCAACAAAAATACATCAAATGTGAAGTGTCACGCAGGGAATTGTGGGAATGTCAATTTACGGTTTTTCACTGTAAATTATACAATGAGTTGTTCTTTTTCAATTTCAAAAACTGTAAATTTAACGGTAATTTACAGTAAAATTACATTAAATGTACCGTTAGATCTATCACTATTATTTACCGTACATAGTAAGGAAACTTTTTGTTAACCAATTAACAGTTTTTCACTGTAGCATTTCTTTTACCGTTAAAATCACGATCATTTTTTACAGTGCACAATGCAACACGATTGTGACGTCACTACAGCAACTCGCAGCACTCACACTTAATCAAGGGCTTAGGACGTTCCATTTAAACACATTGCAAGGGTTCTGCCAGTAGTGGACACTAATAAAACGTAAGCAATGACGTACATCCGAGTGAGAGGGAGGGATTTCGGTGTGGGAAGGGCATAAAAAAGTGTACTTAAGTGCATCCATTGGCTGTGTTAAGTTTCACTTAGATGCATGTCATTGTTTGCGTTGCATGAGTGTCCACTACTGGAGGAACCCTTGAAATATGTTTAAATGGACCACCCTAAGCCCTTGATCACTTGTGGATAAATTAAGCCTATGTTTACACGGAAACGATCTGAAGAGAAAGCGCAAAAGTGGCTTTAATATAAAAAATATAAAAAATCACTTTTTATTCTGCATTTAGACGGTAACGCGACGGTGGAGCGTTTTTAAGGTTTCCACTCTGGAGGGTGGTTTCACTTTTTTGCGTTTTTAAGCCCCAAAAACGCCTAAACGCATAAAAAGTTTTACATTTTTAGTTGAAAACAGTGTCATGTAAACAGCCCCTAAAATTGGAGTTAAATGCAGCCCTAGTAATCCTGAGGACCTTGATTAGCTTGTTCAGTTTGATCAGGATTAAGTTAAGGACACACCAAACAGACACCAAAGAACCAGGGCTGATGAAAGCTGACTGTGTTGTCGCAAAAAGGCTGCATTTGAACACACCGAAAGGACTACAGCCGGCTGTCAGCTAGCATGCTAGCATCCACGTAATCTGGAGGTCAACAAAAAAGTTGCCCATGCAGATTTCGCTTGAGTTCAAGTTGGTCATGCGAATTCGCCACATTGAGCAACAGAAAGGTTGGTTTGAAACTGACGTCTGGGCTG